TTTTTTCTTTTCTTATTATTATGTGACAGCTTACTACTTCATTTCAAAAGATCATCAGTATTACAAGAGTAAATTTCATATAATACCCTTGATATGATGAGTTTGAGAAACAATATCCCATTCATTAGCTTTTGAATAAAAAAATATCTTAAATTGATAAAAAATGAAGTGGGTCATTCAATAGTAATTTAAGATTATTTATGAGAGACAATGGATCCATACTACATTACTATTGGGAGAGGATAATGTTAAAAGCATAATTTTCATCAAGGAAATTTATCTATTATTATATAACTAAAAAATAATAAATATATATACATTGTAATTTTTCGATAAAAGTCATTTAGAGCACCTCTGGCTCGTCCTAGGCTTATATGAAGATCAAGGTGGTTAGTGGCGGACCTAGAACATTAAATATGGATTTTCGGGAATCCAATAAATTTTGAGTAGACCTTATATTTATATTAGAAATTTTACTATATATTTATAAATATCTATGAAATTAACTATTATTTTATACTCCCTCCGGTCCAAAATAAGTAATTTTTTGGCCTTTTTCTTGTGGTCCAAAATAAGTGATTTTTTCAGATTTCAAGAATGAATTAATTATTTTTTTCCTACATTATCATTGGAGTAAATAGCGTTGGAATATGTGTTAGGAGTATTTATGTTTAGTAAAGGTTAATATGGTTAATTCTATTGCTAATTAATGCTAAAAGGTAGATTTCTTAATTTGTGTAAAAACATCTAAAAAATCACTTATTTTTAACTGGAGTGAGTATTAATTTGAAATTACAGTATAAACTCATAAAGTGTAATTTTGGGTCATGACGTGAACCGGAAAATTGCAACAAATGCAGCACCAAATTGGGAAAATAGTACGGTTTGACTATTTGAAACTTCGCGCCAGCACGTGGAAGTCGCAGTGTGTATGTGAACATCTGCGGCGAACTGTTTCAAAATTATAGAACTTATTAAATATTACTATTAGAATTCATTGTACTCGGATCTCATTTTTTTTTAATGTACATTATTCATATATAATTCATTGTAATTAATATTGGAGTATATTATACTAGTACTATGATTATCCTTTTACTAACTTGCTATTTTTACCAAAAAAGCAGCTTTTGACTCGATAAAGTTTTACGTTTGGTTCTAATATTGAATATTTCAGAGGCTTCTGAAATGGCAATTCATGTAAATAAAGGTTACAAAATTTAACCTATAGAATGAGATCCTATAATAGCAAGCAAACTTCAGATTGCCTCACTGGAGTCAATATTTCAGATGAAAATACAAGATAACCTCATATTTTGATGAAAGAGTTTTCTTTAAGCAGGCCCCTAATTCAAAGATTAATCCACGATTTAAATCTTATGAGTTATGTATTCTAAATCTTTAGAGTTAATGAGTTCTAAATTGATAATTTATGGATATCAAATAATTCTTTACGGCAAATATAAAATTTGGGTTAAAGCTACTGAGTTATTTTAGAATCTGCGTAAACTCTATATCTGCCCTAGGCGCATGTTGCAGATTTTAAAGAAGATTTATAGCT